TTTTCCAACCCCCTGGGGCCGAGGGGTCCCCACAATGAACCCTCCTGGTTCTGAGGCACAGCCTCCCCCCAAGTGCAGTCTCTGTGTCACAGGAACAAACTGAGTCTATGGCCACACAAGAAAAGTCCAGCCAAAAGGCCACTCCAATCATCTCTCCCCACTCAGTCAATCGTCTCCACATCTTTCGGGCCAGGTCCTTGTCTCATCTCATCTCTTATCTCCCTTCTTATTCAGCTCTGAGGAGGATCAGCATTTTTGCGAGGTCCCAGTCATGAAAGAAAGGGGTTAAAACTTCAGTCTCTATCTGTCCCGGAGCACTCCAGCACTCCCACACTCGCTGCTGCTCCAGCCTGCTGGCACTTCCCCCCCTTCTCCTCCTGGGCCGGTTCGTCGTCCCCGACTCTCTCCCTCTCTCTCTCCTGGGGGGGGGAATGGCTGCCCAATGTCTCCCTGGGCTCTTCCACCCTTCCATCCTCAAGGGCCTCCTCACCCCCCCATCTCTGTCCAGGCTCAGGCCTACCGAATGGCTGCCCCTCCCCCGCTCAGCAGCAGCGGCTGGACAGGGGAGGGAGATCTGACCTCTTTGCCTCAACATCCCAAGAGAAACTCCCAGGGCCGAAGCTCTGCTTTTAACCCCTGTGTATTCTCGGAGGTGTGTCCAGACCCCACTGGCCACACCAGGTGCCAATATCAAACTCCGAGCATCCATTGGTTTGACCACAGCATCCCAGAATTCCCACTTCTTCCTGGTCAAACCACCACAGTCCCTGAGCAAGAGCTGAGCTCACCTGCAGCTGCAGCAGGAACCTCTCGTGGCTGGATCTGGAACTGGTGCACCCCGGATTCCCAGCCAGGCGCGGGCGTGCATGTCCCTCATCAGGAGCTCTGAGCAGCCTCTTCCCTCGGGGAGCGAAGCCAGACCAGGGGCCGCTCTCTGTCTGCACGGAGGCGGCTCCCAGTCCCAGCCCTGAGAGCAGAAGGGAGGCGGGGGCTCTGCAGGGACGTGGTGCAGCAGCGTCTCCTCTGTCTCTGCACAAAGGGGGTCACTCAGCATGCCCGGGGTGCGCAGCACAGCCCCACACGAGATGCCCGTCCCCCCTCCCAGGCAGGGGCAGCCCTTCCCTCCCTGCTGCCCCTGCTTTGGGCACAGACCGTGCACCGAGGACAGGGAGGCAGAAATCTCAACGGGAGAGCTCAGGGCTCAGCCCCAAAATTGCACATTTCTGCCCAGAAGAGCAGAGGAGGAGGCACAGATTGCTGCAAGCCCTCTGCTCAGTGAGGGGCACTGTGAGAACAGAGCCTGGGGCTGAGCCTGGCCTGGCCCAGCACCTTCCCCCAGCCACCCTCACCCTGCCCCAGAGCAGGACTGGGGAGCCACAGACTGTGCTGCCCATCCTGACAAACACCACTGGGCCAGGCACAGCACGACCCCGATCCCAGCCTGAACACGCCTCAGGGCACGTCCCTCAAACAACGCCGAGCCAAGGCCAGCACTAAGGAGCAAATGACACCGGACACGAAGGGCCCGGAACAACCAGAAGTCCCCCGGGAGGGGGAGCGGGGCAGGATCGTCCCCAGCCCGTCTGGGACCAGAAGCCAAAGCAGCAGCAGCCCTGGGTGGCTGCTGATGGTGTGAGGAGAAGCCACCCCCGGGCAGCTCTGGTGCAGCCCCTTCTCCCTGCTCCCTTCGCAGTGACGGCTCCCACCATTGTCAGGCACAGCTGAATCCCAGCCCCAGTTCCTGTCCCAGCCCCCCTGCAGCCAGGGCCCTGTCCAGGAGCACTGCCAGTGCAGCCCTAAACCATGCCAGGACAGGACAGGCCACACAACCAGAAACCACAGCACAACCATGTTCTTCCCAAGGAACAGCCAAGCACAGTGCAGAGGCACAGCCGTGACCCTGGCCCTGCTGCAGCCTGCTGCCAGCCCCAAAGGGGCCCACAGCAGGGCCAGCACCAGAACCAGCACAGCGCGTTCCCCTCAGCCATAGCCCGGCACAACTTCCTCAGGTCATGTGAATCGGGGCATTCCTTCCTTCCTGCCTGATCCCGCAACCTTCCCCAAAGCTGCCCAGGTCAGAGCACTCACCTGGGCTCATCCTCCTGTGCCAGCCTCTCTTGTGCCACGCTGGGGCCGTGCTCCTCACCTGGGCTCATCCTCCTGTGCCAGTGTGCCCAGGGCTGCTCCTGCTGGGGCCGTGCCCGGGCTGAGCCCCTCGGCCAGTCCCCTGTGCTGCTTCCTGTATGGAGGCAGTCCCTGGTGAAGAAGAGGCTGCAGCTTTGCCCCTTGGAAGACAAAGCTTTTGCCCCAGCAGGAGCTCCCAATGCACACCACAGGTCCCTGCAGGCAGCACAACGCAGTGCTGAAAGCTGACCGTGCTTCTAAGGACTGCAGCCGACCCCTGTGCACCCTCACTGCCCCTTTTCTCGCAGTGCTGCAGGGGCCGGGGCAGCCCCTTGAGTCTCCCTGGAGCTCCTGAGCTTTCTGGACAAACACGAGCCCCCGCTGCCTCTCAGAAGCTTCTCCTGGGCCCAGGGCGGGTGTAGAGGCTTTGCCTCCTCTTCCTCCCCCTGCCGTGGCTGCAGGCCCCACCTGCCCCTTCCTTTGGTGTCTCTGCCTCCTTCCCGTGAGCCTGGGAGCAGGGACCCAGCTGTGCCGAGCCGGGCTGCCCAGGCAGGGCCGCTGGACAAGGCACAGCTGGCTCGGAGACAGGGACAGTCAGGAAAGCCTTCCCCAGACTGACCGAATTTCACAGCAATGACCCGGTGGCTGCAATTGCTCCATCCTCTGCGAGACCCCATTCGGGGAGGGTCCATTTTGGGGAGCAGTGCCGGGCAGCCTTCTCTGCAGCTTCCTCGCAGCTGAATCCCTGCGAGTATGTTTGGAAAACACTGGTGTAGGCTCCAAGTTCCAGAGCACCCTCGACTCCCTTCTCTGCCATGTCACACTTTGCCGCGGGATAGGCCCCAGGNATGTTCCCCTGGGAGCGGGTGTACCCGGCCGGGGTGGGAGGTGTTGCAGCTGAAATGAGCCTGAATACAGCGATTCCCCACATCTGCCAGCGCTGCCCCGCAGAGACACAGGACCGGGCACGGAGGGTGCCTCCATCCCAGGTCCCAAGCACTTCCCATAAACTGGATATGGGGTAGGGGTGGGCAATACCCGTCCAGCTGCCTGCTGCTACATCACACACGGGGTCACACACAGAGCTGCGGTGCTGGCTCTCGCCTGCCCCGTGCCGTGTTTTGGGTGCTTGGAACATGCTGAGGGGATCAGGTGTGGAGCTCAGAAAGGGACAAAGTCCTGCATTTTTCACAGTGGAAAACAGAGACCAAATCCAGTGGGTTTGGTCAAAAATTTAGTCTTGTTTTCACCTTTTGAGAACAGACACTAAATATTGCATTTTTTGGGCCTTGAAACCAAGCTCTGGGGGATGATTTTGGGTCCCAGAAGCACAGCCCAATGTTTGTGAAGCTCAGAAAAAGTAAAGTAAGTCTTGCATTTTCTTTTCTTGAAAATGCAGGTCTAGTCCAGTGTTTCTGGGACTCAGAAAAATGACCAAGGGGCACTTCCCAGAAACATGGAAACAGCAGCTCAGCTGGCTGCTTTCAGCCCCCAGAGCAGAGGCTGGGGAGGGCTTTTGGGGGGGAGGGCTGGGGATGAGGACCCTTCTCTGGAGGAGGGGTCCGGTTGCCTTGGTCCCCAAACGTAGGGACACCAGCACGCCCCAGGCTGTTTTAGGGGTCTGAGACAGTCTCAGGAAAGAAAAGCACTTTTCAGCCCCTTTTCCACATCCAACTGTTTATGGTGCACAACCACTACAACAGTTATGATTTTTATTTAAACAATAACTTTATGACAATTAATAGTATAACAAAATTAATAGTTATATGTAATTGATGACAGTGAGTCATGGACAACTTGGCCAAAAGCCCAGATAACTGCAATTAGCTGGAGCTTTAAAGTGGCTTGTAACAAAAAGCAGGAGTTAAGGCAGAGCTGGAAGGAACTGGAGCAGCCACCAACTGCAGCATCTCAGTTCCAGAGCTGGAATGAAGAACACGCCACAGCCAGAGCTGGAGGTTCAGCAAGCTGGACTGGGTAACACCTGCAAGTGAAACAAGCAGAAGGAACAGACATCACCTGGGCCCTCAGATTTCCTGAGCAATAAGTCAGCAGGGGTCCATCAGCAGGAGCTGCGAGCACCAGGAACAGCTCTTGTCCGGTGTCCATCAGCTGGAGCTGTCACAGGCACAGGCGTCCCTGAGCGAGAGCTGAGCTCACCTGCAGC